TGCAAATATCCATGGAGCATTCACGGTGGCATATCTCCCTCAGGGTGGAGAAGCCATGGTGAAGAAAGGCTGGTCTCTCTCTGTGCTCCACTGAGCAGTGACAGTGGGAGAGTGACAGGAGTGGCATCTTCAAGGAAATGTGAAGGCCACGGTGAGAGGCGAGGGAGGGGAGTGTCCGACCAGTCAGAAGGTCCATGGAGTGAGCTATGGCTGAAGGAGAAGCCTTCCAGACAGAGGGAACAGCATGTGCAAAGACCCTGTGGCAGGGGAGCCTGGGTGCTTAGGAGGAACAGAAAGAAGAACCCTCCCTCCAGCTGCCTCCTGCATGTCCCTCCCTCTGGGCCACCTTCCTTCCTGTGTGATTCTCTCTCTGCTTGCTAGAAGCCTCTCCATCTTTCAAAGCCAGGCTCAAATGCCTCCTCCTCTAGGAAGGCTTCCAGGTCATGCAGTGTTTCTCAGTCCCTAGGAGGAATGATCTCTCCTGCCTGTGGGCCCCCTCCCAGCACCTCTGTGGGGCCCCATTCACGTGACCTTGTACGGAGACTCTGTGTCCATATCTCCATCCTTCCAGCCAGGGCATACACCCTCAGGGCGGGCACTGCGTCTTCTCCAGTGGACATCTGGAGTGCTTACCTGTGCAGTTTGGGGTTGAATCCTGAGAGAGGCCACTTAGTAGTGGTACTTTGCAAAAATGACTCTACCTCTCTGGGTCTCAGTTTTCTCAGCTGGCAAATGGAAGTAATGCAGTGAGGCTGTGCTGGGCTCTGGGCAACTGTGCTGGGCTCTGGGCAACTGAGAGGCCATGGAGCTTGTCAACAGCTTGGGACAGAGGGCAGGGGAGAGGCCTGTTATAATCCAGAAGGCTCAGGGCTTTGTGGCCTTCAACTCACTTAGACTCGTATTTTCCAAATCTGCCGGAGCTGCTTGCTAAAAACGCACATCCCGAGGCCTGCTCCTGTATCAGCAGGTCTGGGGTGGAGACCAGAAGCCTGTGTTCCAAAAAAGCTCCCAGATGATTCTGGTGCACAATTCGGTAGGGAAACTGAGGCCAGGGGGGAGGAAGTGATTTTCACGTATGTGGTGGCTTGGGTGAATCACCCCAGCTCTTCCTCCCTTGTGACAGGATTATGCACCCACACCCTTTGCCAAGTAACTGCTGGGCCCTCTCATGGTGGGCAGGACAAAATTCCCCATCTGTGATGCTGGGCATAGCCACAGGGCTTGCTGTGGCCTGTGAGACACGGGCGGCTGTTTATGTGGCCTGGCTCCCCAGGGCTCCCACCCTTCACCAGGAGAGAGACAAGCCCAGGGTGGCCGCCGGTGCCAAGACAGTGAGGAAACACATGAAACAGGCTGAACACCCCCCACTCCACCACGCTGGAGTCTCACCCAGCACAGAGAGGCTGGCCAGGGTCACCAAACCCCATGCTTATTGTTCTACACTACTGAGCTGTGGGTGGTTTTGTTATGTAGCGTTATTGTTGGAAGAGCTGACCAATACACTAAGGTCACACAGCAAAGCTGGGGCTCAGGCCTTGGACTCTGCTCCCAATCCAGTGCTCATTTCTCACTGCTTCTCTGTCTTTCAGTCCTGAGGGCTTTCCCCACAGCCCTGCTCCCTGGAAGCCCCTCGCTTCTGTACTCTGCCCCATCTCTACTCTCTGGGAACACCCAGCTCCCGGCAGGAGGGTCTGCCCCAGCAGCAAGATCCCACCCCTTGGTGCTAATAACCAGAAACCTCTTGATTAGGCAGTTCCGCCCCAGGGGTTCCCAAATGCAGGCAGGGGAGCCCCGACAGCCAGCAGCGGGACTCCAGGAGCTTCTTCTTGGCTTCTCCCAGCAGGAAAGTATACCCCTCCACCCAGACCCTGGGCCAGGCTTCCCCTGCTCAGAGCTTTGTCTGGCCAGAGCGACGCACAGCCGGGCTTTCTGCTCTCTCAGGGTCTTGGCCAACACCTGCTGGCTCTTGGCTCTCTCAGTTTGCCAGCTTTGATGGCACCCTCTGGACCCCATCTGAGGGGGGCTTCAGTGCACCCGGGCCCCACAGGAACCGCAGGCACGTGCTCATGAACATGCCCCCTCAGCCGCGGCAATGCCCAAACACTCCCCAGCAAAACGGAATGCATGGATGCAACACCCTGCCCCGACCCAGGTCCCTTGGGTTGAGATGCACCCATGCTCACAAATGCACGTATAAGGAGAAGCCACACGGCCACCCAAACACACATGACAACACACCCAAAGGACACAGACTGCACCATCTGTGCACAATCAGACACACAGTTGGGCGCAGGGCCCCTGAACACAGCCTGGACTTTGCCACACTGGAGTCTGTTAGACCTGGTTAATTCCTGGCTTTGTGGCTCGACTTCTCAGAGCCTCATCTGAGAACTGGGGACACAGATGCCTCCTTTTCAGGGAGGCTGGGGGAGGCAGCGAGGTCACACGTGGAAAGTACCCCTCAGCTAGGTGGTGCTGACTGCCTCTCCCCTTCTACGCCCCACAGGTGCCCTTCCCCCTTCTCAGAATTCCATCTCTTTCTTTCACTCCCTTCAAAATCCTACTGGTCCCCTGTAAACTGCATGCCAAAGCCCACCTCCTCCAGGAGGCCTTCCTCTGGATCTGGAGCTTGCTGTGCGGGACATTTGCTCGCCTCCCTGCCGCCTGGCCCTTCCTGGGCTGCGGCCCAGCCATGCTCACTGCGGGGGCTCTGCAGGGGTTGCTGACAGTGCCAGCCACGAGGTCTTCTACCCACAGTGTCCGGGATAATCTCACGTGGCCCTCCGCGGGGGTGAGGCTGGGCAGCACGTCCCGGACTTGGCCTCACGTGTCCCTGAGGAGGGCGGTCTTTGCGGACAAGTGGGCCGGACCCCTGAGTGGCGTGGACTGGAGGGAGTGGGGGTGTGGACAAGGCTGTGGTGCTGGGCGATTTTTGCTGCTGTGGCGAGGGAACGGAGAGCAGAGGATGGAGGTCACACCGGCCACAGGAAGGACCACGGAAAGCGGCGTAGGGAGGAGGGCTCTGCGGGGCTCAGGCTGGAGGAGGTGGAGGCTCACGGAAGGCGCTTCGAGTCAGGCCGGGAGAGACCTCTCTGGCACCCTTGTGGCTGGGGAGCATGGGCGACTAAAGTGACAAGTGCCACCTCCATCCGCCTCACTTAAAGCGTCCCTGCTGCCCCGGTTCCTTTCTCTCTTCCCGCAGACGTGCCCGCCGCTCAGCCTGGACCATGCGGCTGCAGGGAGGGCATGTGGCTGGACCATGTGGCTGCAGGGAGGGCAGTGAGATGGCTCTGAAGGAACCTGGACCCTGTGTCTCCTAGTGGATCAGAACCACCCGCCAGCCTGAACTGCTCACCTTCCGACTCTCACACGACAGGGAAATACACCTCTAGCTTCTTTCAGCCACCAAATGTGGGGTCTTTTGTTACAGCAGCTTAACTTTCACCTCCAGTAACGTGTGCTCGACAGAGGGAAGCAATTATTCCTAACACCGCAACAATGGAGAGGGAGCCCGGATGCCCCAGGTGGCCGGATCCCACGGAAAGACTGAACAGAAGCAACCTCTCCTCAGATGAGGAAGAGCCTTTCCCGAGGGCCCGTGCGGCA